GTTATGATACTCACCTCAAGATTCTTTTCCTTGAGTGAGGTTTGTAGCCTTTGGCCCACTAGCCTGTACTCCGCTTGCGGTCTTCTTTGACCTTCCCCAATCATCAGGACTGCACTTTGTGGGGTTAAAATCCAGGAGCCAGTTGCTAGACCAGGCTTACAGCCTGTCCAGATTTCTTTGTAGTCCTACATGATTCTCATCCGTTTGAATTCTTCGCATTAGCTTCACATCGCCTGCAAACAGAGACAACTGAATCTATCCCTTCAGTAACGTCATTCACATATACCAGAAAAGCAGTGGTCCTAGGACTGACCTTGTGGAATCCCGTTCGACACAGGCGCCCACTCAGACACCTCATCACGTGCCATCACTCGCTGTTTCCTTTCTGTCAGGTGTTCTCCGATCCATTGCAGTGCCTTACCTGTTATTTCTGGCTGCTCTTCTAGATTCTGTACTAATCTCTTGTGTGGAGGTGTGTTAAAAGCCTGCTTACAGTCCAAGAAAATGCAGTGTACCCACCCCTCTCTCTCCTGTCTTACTTCTGTTCCCCTGTCGTAAAACTCCAGTAGGTATGTGACGCTGGATTTTCATTTCCTGAAACCGTGCTGGTTATCGTGTATAAGCTCTTTTCCTTCTAGGTGCTAAACCACTCTTCTCCTGATAAGCTTCTCCATGACTTTGCATACTATACATGTCAGTGACACTGGTCTGTAGTTTAATGCTGCCTGTGTCTCATTTCTTAACAATTACATTTGCTGTCTTCCACGACTCAGGTAGTCGCCCTATTTCGATAGATGTGTTGAATATTGTTATTAGTGGCACACACAGCGCCTCGGCTCCCTCTCCCAGGACTCATGGAGAGATGACCGGTTGTTTGGTTTTGAGGTATGTGGTTCACATAACAGCCTCATCACCTTCTCGGTTGTGTGTTTTGTGTTCAGTACTTGTGTGTTATACCTCGGTGTGAGTGGTCTCTCCATCTTTCCCGTGACTTAAAATACACAAATTTTATTGCTGATTTAGCTGTTCTATTAAAACTAAAAAAAAAAATGACAATTTTGCTTAATGCAGTGTACGTGCGTTTGGGAGCTAGGCTGCATGACCGGAATTAGTGAAGGTTTTGATGACTTTTTGGGTTTAATTAACGTTTCACTTTACGAAGGCATAATTCAACAATACAGTATTGAGTTATTTTTTCTTAAATACTGGTAGGTTAAATAGGTTTAAGATATTATCGACTCTCTGGTGAGGTGGGATCCCATCTATCGTCGTCTTTCTTTATAAATTAATCCATTCAGTAACTTATTTTCACAGTCAGACCATGAATAACTAAATGCTAAATGTTTTTCATTTTATTTCTCGCTCTTTTTTTTTATTTGTGGTTAATGTTTAATGTAAGTCAACTATAATGGTGGTCCTCGTCCTCACCAAGCACAATTAAGTCTTAGAAACTAAATTCTCACCGCCCGCCATGGCTTCTAAAATTCTACGGTGGACCCCAGTTTGAGAAGTAATGACGCACAGTCATATGTAGGTTTTGGTAATCATTACCAATAATGGGTCTTTACTTTCTTAGTCAAATGAATCACTTTACAGAATCCCATTTTATCTTACAAAACAATTAGGCCCGAAGTCGACGCTACTTCCTGGGTGGCTGATATCTTTCTGTGGAGTGGAGTGGAGGATCTAAAATGAGGGAGCACTCAAAACATTCTGTTGCGGTATATGTTCAATGAAAAAACAAACTCATCTGATGTGATTTACTTAATGAAAGGACTTAAAATGGTTCTGTAGTATACTGTGCGTCAAGTCCGTATTATTCATGTTCCCTGATGATTGATCAATAGAGTAAATTTTGCAAAAAAAAAAAAAAAAAAAAAAAAAATAACCATGTCATACTCATTCTCTTGCATACTCTTTTTTTTTGATAGAAAAAACATACAAATACAACCAGCTTTCATTTTATCCTTTCCATATATCGAATCTCTACGTCGATCACAGTTGATCGTCTACCACTTTATTACCATCTACCGGGGAGCCATAAGTCACCAGCAGGATGACTCCTGTGACCTGCAGGAGGAGACTAAGCCCAGGAAGGTAATGGCTGAACCTGGAGGCTGGTTGAGACCAGTGAGCACGATAGAAATGTTTGCAGCATCACTACTGATTCTAGGCACTGGTAACACTGCTCAGGTGTTGTGGCTCTCCTCGTCTCAGCCCATCACACCTGAGGACGTTAAACAAGCTCTCTCCGTAATAGCTGAGTGAGTATAAGTCTTATGTTCAGTATACAAAATAAACGATTAAGTCTAACATAGCTGTACAGAACAAAATTTTAAGGTTTTTCAATACAAATAGGGGAATGTATGAGAGTATAGTTATACCAAATGCTCTTATATTGATGTGAAGGATGGGTGGTGAATGTTGCAATAATGAGAAGGCTGGAGGCAGTGGAGATGTTGTGTCTGAGGGCAATGTGTGGTGTGAATATAATGCAGAGAATCCGCAGTATGAAAATTAGGAGGTGGAGGTTACTAAAAGTATTATGCAGAGGGCTCTGGAGGGGTTGTTGAGGTGGTTCAGACATTTAGAGCGGATAGAATAAAATAGAATGGCTTGAAGAGCATATAAGTCTGTAGTGGAAGGAAGGCAGGATAGGGTTCGATCTCTGAAAAGTTTAAGGGATGGGGCAAAAGAAGTTTTGCATGTGAGGGGCTTGAACTTCCAGCAGGCGTGCATGAGCGTGCTACATAGGAGCGAGTGGAGACGAATGATTTTTATGTCTTGACGTGTTGTTGGAGTGTGAGCAAGGTAACATTTATGAAAGGATTTAAGGAAACAAGCAAGCCGAACTCGAGCCCTGAAGGTGGTAAGTACAGTGCTTACGCTCCGAAGGAGGGGTGTTGATGTTGCAGTTTTATAACTGCTGTGTAGGTTCGTCTCTGGTAAGACAGTGATGGACTGAATGAAGATGAAAGTGTTTTTTTCTTTTTCGGGTCACCCTGCTTTGGTGTGAAGCGGCTGATGTGTTAATAAAAAACTAATAAATAATTCAGTGCAGAACACCATTGCCGAATACGTCAGACTACTGGTACATTATGTATTTCTTATATATCATATTGTGACCTATGATGCTGGTTATATCTTTTTGCAGGAAGATACATGTTCTGCAGGTCTGCGTTGCTTGGCGCTGGTTTCGACCATGGTTACGACGGATGAAGAACGTTGTTGTAGACTTCAGCGTTGACACGGGCGACGCCATGTCGGTGTACTACCAGCAGATGCGAACTCCCTACAACATTTCTCAGGGACCACTGTGGAGGGCGAGGTTGGTTCCCCAGCCACAGGCAGCTGGTGACCGTCACCAGGCCGTCCTGGTGCTCACCTTACACCACATCATCATTGACGGTCTTACCAATATGATCATCTCCCGTGATTTTATGGAGGTGCTGAACGCCATCATGACAGGACGGAGCCACAACACACCCACACGCCATATCATCCCAGCCATTGCTGATGAACTCTTTGGCATGAGAGACTGTATTTATTGTCTTAGATATCTCTCGACTGTAATATACAAAATAACAACTGGCATGTTCAGTAATACACTTAGTTTTCCTAAGTCAAAAGCAAAAGTTGCACTTACAAATGTGTTGCGTAAAGACTTCTCAGCAGAGACGACACAAGAGCTTTTGCGTCATTGCAAAGAAGCAAAAGTCAGTGTTCACTCTAGTATCGTTGCCGCGGCTTATCTAGCGTTTCTACGTACCGCTCAGAAATATTCAAAACAAACCCTAGACTCACTGAAAATCACTTATGGTAACGCTGTAAACATGCGTCGCTACTACCCAAGTGTTTACAAAGAGTCTGTTGGCTTTCACGCATCCATAACCAAACATGATTACGTCGTCTGCAGCAGTGACGCAGAAAGTAAAGTTAATTTTTGGGAGCTAGCAAGACGCATGCATGACGACCTTCAACACAATCTTTGTGTCAGTAAGACACCTATTCGCATCTCTCCGCTCTCTGTAGTACTCCTTCCTGTTCATCAAGTTAATTGCTTGTTAACTCGATTGGGATGCAGAAACTTGATGGCTGCAGAAATGGCATGCACTAACATGGGCAATTTGAAGCAAATATTGCCTGGTAAATATGGGGATGGGCCCGTGGAGATCACTAGTTTTCTTCGGTCCACGGCAATGGAGGTATGTGGGTCTCCTTTCTATATTGTCTTCCAAACCTTTGAAGGAAAGCTGTTGTTGTCTCTGGACCATTACATAAATAATATGACTGACGAGGTCGCCAATATGTTTTTTTCATACCTAACTCATTATATTGCTGACATAGCTCACGATGGTACCATCAAGAATTACTGAGTTGCAAATGCTTTAAGAAGGATACAAATAATAATTACATATATTTTGATTGCCGTGTGATCGAGCAAGGAATTCCTTACTTTGGTTACCCCTGCCTTCTCTACCTTCAGATTCATGACATTTTGGAACTAGATTTGTATAGATGGTCTCCCTGCCTTCCCTTCCGCGCTCATCCATACGCACCTATGGCTCTAAATTGCCAGACGGGGGTGAGACACCTACCTGTTTTTCCTTAGGAATGACAGCTAATGACAGTTGCTAAACAACTAGTATTTTCTCATCAGTTATAAGCACTTCTCACCTCCAACATCAACGTAGACAAAATGGCCACCTCCCAGTTGGATGTAGTGATGTACTCAAGATTCTTTATGTTTGATATGTGTACGCGAATGTAGAAGTGCAGGTAGTGCAAGAACGAGTTGTAGAGGTAAAGGAAGGAGCTGTAAAACTGAGGAGTTGCAGATTTATAGGAGCGAGATGTAAGGTACGGAGTGAGATGTAAGGTACTGGAGTGAGATGTAAGGTACTGGAGTGAGATGTAAGGTACTGGAGTGAGATGTAAGGTACGGGAGTGAGATGTAAGGTACTGGAGTGAGATGTAAGGTACTGGAGTGAGATGTAAGGTACTGGTTAGTGAGATGTAAGTACGCGAGTGGGAGGTAAGGTACTGGAGTGAGATGTAAGTACGGGAGTGAGATGTAAGGTACGGAGTGAGATGTAAGGTTACGGGAGTGAGAGGTAAGGTACGGGAGTGAGATGTAAGGTACGGGAGTGAGATGTAAGGTACGGGAGTGAGATGTAAGGTACGGGAGTGAGATGTAAGGTACGGGAGTGAGAGGTAAGGTACGGGAGTGAGATGTAAGGTACGGGAGTGAGATTGTAAGTACTGGAGTGAGATGTAAGGTACGGGAGTGGGAGGTAAGGTACGGAGTGAGAATGTAAGGTACGGGAGTGAGATGTAAGGTACGGGAGTAAGAGAGTAAGGTACGGAGTGAATGTAAGGTACGGGAGTGAGATGTAAGGTACGGAGTGAGATGTAAGGTACGGGAGTGAGATGTAAGGTACGGAGTGAGAGGTAAGGTACGGGAGTGAGTATGTAAGGTAACGGAAAAGTGGAGGTAAAGGTACGGGAGTGAGATGTAAGGTAACGGGAGTGAGATGAAAGGACGGAAGTGGGAGGTAAGGTAAGGGAATGAGATGTAAGGTACGGGAAGTGGGAGGTAAGGTACGGGAGTGAGATGAAAGGTACGGATGAGATGTAAGGTTACGGGAGTGAGATGTAAGGTACGGGAGTGAGAGGTAAGGTACGGAGTGAGATGTAAGGTACGGGAAAGTGAGATGTAAGGTACTGGAGTGAGATGTAAGGTACGGGAGTGAGATGTAAGGTACGGGAGTGAGATGTAAGGTACGGGAGTGGGAGGTAAGGTACGGGAGTGAGATGTGAGGTACGGGAGTGAGATGTAATGTATGGGAGTGAGATGTAAGGTACGGGAGTGGGAGGTAAGGTACTGGAGTGAGATGTAAGGTACGGGAGTGAGATGTAAGGTACGGGAGTGAGATGTAAGGTACGGGAGTGGGAGGTAAGGTACGGGAGTGAGATGTAAGGTACGGGAGTGAGATGAAAGGTACGGAAGTGGGAGGTAAGGTAAGGGAATGAGATGTAAGGTACGGGAGTGGGAGGTAAGGTACGGGAGTGAGATGTAAGGTACGGGAGTGAGATGTAAGGTACGGGAGTGAGAGGTAAGGTACGGGAGTGAGATGTAAGGTACGGGAAAGTGAGATGAAAAGGAAACGGGAGTGAGATGTAAGGTACGGGATTGAGATGTAAGGTACGGGTGAAAGGTAAAGGTACGGGAGTGAGATGTAAGGTACGGGAGTGAGATGTATGATACGGAGTGAGATGTAAGGTACGGGAGTGTGAGATGTAAGGTACGGGAGTGAGATGTAAGGCACGGGAAGTGAGATGTAAGGTACGGGAGTGAGAGGAAAGGTACGGGAGCGAGATGTAAGGTACGGGAGTAAGATGTAAGGTACGGGAGTGAGATTTTAAGGTACGGGAGTGAGAGGTAAGGTACGGGAGTGAGATGTAAGGTACGGGAGTGAGATGTATGATACGGGAGTGAGATGTAAGGTACGGGAGTGAGATGTAAGGTACGGGAGTGAGATGCAAGGCACGGGAGTGAGATGTAAGGTACGGGAGTGAGAGGTAAGGTACGGGAGCGAGATGTAAGGTACGGGAGTAAGATGTAAGGTACGGGAGTGAGATGTAAGGTACGGGATTGAGATATAAGGTACGGGAGTGAGATGTAAGGTACGGGAGTGGGAGGTAAGGTACGGGAATGAGAGGTAAGGTAAGGGAGTGAGATATAAGGTACGGGAGTGGGAGGTAAGGTACGGGAGTGAGAGGTAAGGTACGGGAGTGAGAGGTAAGGTACGGGAGTGAGATGTAAGGTACGGGAGTGAGATGTAAGGTACGGGAGTGAGATGTAAGGTACGGGAGTGAGAGGTAAGGTACGGGAGTGAGATGTAAGGTACGGGAGTGAGATGTAAGGTACGGGAGTGAGAGGTAAGGTACGGGAGTGAGATATAAGGTACGGGAGTGAGATGTAAGGTACGGGAGTGGGAGGTAAGGTACGGGAGTGGGAGGTAAGGTACGGGAGTGAGATGTAAGGTACGGGAGTGGGAGGTAAGGTACGGGAGTGGGAGGTAAAGTACGGGAATGAGATGTAAGGTACGGGAGTGGGAGGTAAGGTACGGGAGTGAGATGTAAGGTACGGGAGTGAGATGTAAGGTACGGGAGTGAGATGTAAGGTACGGGAGTGAGATATAAGGTACGGGAGTGAGATGTAAGGTACGGGAGTGGGAGGTAAGGTACAGGAGTGGGAGGTAAGGTACGGGAGTGAGATGTAAGGTACGGGAGTGAGATGTAAGGTACGGGAGTGGGAGGTAAGGTACGGGAGTGGGAGGTAAGGTACGGGAGTGGGAGGTAAGGTACGGGAGTGGGAGGTAAGGTACGGGAGTGGGAGGTAAGGTACGGGAGTGAGATGTAAGGTACGGGAGTGAGATGTAAGGTACGGGAGTGGGAGGTAAGGTACGGGAGTGGGAGGTAAGGTACGGGAGTGAGATGTAAGGGGTACGGGAGTGGGGGTAAGGTACGGGAGTGGGAGGTAAGGTACGGGAGTGAGAGGGTAAGGTAGGGGAGTGGGAGGTAAGGTACGGGAGTGAGATGTAAGGTACGGAGTGGGAGGTAAGGTACGGGAGTGAGATGTAAGGTACGGGAGTGAAATGTAAGGTACGGGAGTGAGATGTAAGGTACGGGAGTGAGATGTAAGGTACGGGAGTGAGATATAAGGTACGGGAGTGGGAGGTAAGGTACGGAGTGAGATGTAAGGTACGGGAGTGAGATGTAAGGTACGGGAGTGGGAGGTAAGGTACGGGAGTGAGATGTAAGGTACGGGAGTGGGAGGTAAGGTACGGGAAGTGGGAGGTAAGGTACGGGAGTGAGATGTAAGGTACGGGAGTGGAGGTAAGGTACGGGAGTGAGATGTAAGGTACGGGAGTGGGAGGTAAGGTACGGGAGTGAGATGTAAGGTACGGGAGTGAGATGTAAGGTACGGGAGTGAGATATAAGGTACGGGAGTGGGAGGTAAGGTACGGGAGTGAGATGTAAGGTACGGGAGTGGGAGGTAAGGTACGGGAGTGAGATGTAAGGTACGGGAGTGAGATGTAAGGTACGGGAGTGAGATATAAGGTACGGGGTGGGAGTAAGGTACGGGAGTGAGAGGTAAGGTACGGGAGTGGGAGGTAAGGTACGGGAGTGAGAGGTAAGGTACGGGAGTGGGAGGTAAGGTACGGGAGTGAGATGTAAGGAAATGAGAGTGAGTTTTAAGAAAATGGAGACGTGTTATAGGGTTACGGGAGTTGTAGGGTGTGATAAAGTGTTTCATATGTGTGAGAATGAACTGTAGAGGTGTGTTGTAGCAGAGGTGTGTTGTAGCAGAGGTGTGTTGTAGCAGAGGTGTGTTGTAGCAGAGGTGTGTTGTAGCAGAGGTGTGTTGTAGCAGAGGTGTGTTGTAGCAGAGGTGTGTTGTAGCAGAGGTGTGTTGTAGCAGAGGTGTGTTGTAGAGGTTTGGGAACATCAGACCTTAGAATGGGAACATTTCACTTACAGAATTTCAGTCTAAAGGCTAGATGCTCTCCTACCTCAGCTCAGTCACAGGCTGAAAGCTGATGTCCTACACCAGCTTGTTTACAGGATAAGAGCGGTTATCCTACACCAGCTTGTTTACAGGATAAGAGCGGCTATCCTACACGAGCTTGTTTAACAGGGTAAGATCTGTTATCCTACACCGATTGTTTACAGGATAGAGCTGTTATCCTACACCAGCTTGTTTACAGGATAAGAGCTGTTATCCTACACCAGATTGTTTACAGGATAAGAGCTGTTATCCTACACCAGCTTGTTTACAGGATAAGAGCTGTTATCCTACACCAGCTTGTTTACAGGATAAGAGCTGCTATCCTACAACAGATTGTTTACAAGATACGAGCTGTTATCCTAACCAGCTTGTTTACAGGATAAGAGCTGTTATCCTACACCAGCTTGTTTACAGGGTAAGAGCTGTTATCCTACACAGTTTGTTTACAGGATAAGAGCTGTTATCCTACACAAGCTATGTTTACAGGATAAGGAGCTGTTATCCTACACCAGCTTGTTTACAGGATAAGAGCTGTTATCCTACACCAGCTTGTTTACAGGGTAAGAGCTGTTATCCTACACCAGTTTGTTTACAGGATAAGAGCTGTTATCCTACACAAGCTTGTTTACAGGATAAGAGCTGTTATCCTACACCAGCTTGTTTACAGGATAAGAGCTGTTATCCTACACCAGATTGTTTACAGAATAAGAGCTGTTATCCTACACCAGATTGTTTACAGAATAAGAGCTGTTATCCTACACCAGCTTGTTTACAGGATAAGAGCTGTTTATCCTACACCAGCTTGTTTACAGATAAGAGCTGTTATCCTACACCAGTTTGTTTACAGGATAAGAGCTGTTATCCTACACCAGCTTGTTTACAGGACAAGAGCTGTTATCCTACACCAGCTTGTTTACAGGATAAGAGCTGTTATCCTACACAAGCTTGTTTACAGGATAGGGAGCTGTTATCCTACACCAGCTTGTTTTACAGGATAAGAGCTGTTATCCTACACCAGCTTGTTTACAGGATAAGAGCTGTTATCCTACACCAGCTTTGTTTACAGGATAAGAGCTGTTATCCTACACCAGCTTGTTTTACAGGGTTAAGATCTGTTATCCTACACCAGATTGTTTACAGGATAAGAGCTGTTATCCTACACCAAGCTTGTTTACAGGATAAGAGCTGTTTATCCTACACCAGCTTGTTTACAGGATAAGAGCTGCTATCCTACACCAGATTGTTTACAAGATACGAGCTGTTATCCTACACCAGCTTGTTTACAGGATAAGAGCTGTTATCCTACACCAGCTTGTTTACAGGGTAAGAGCTGTTATCCTACACCAGTTTGTTTACAGGATAAGAGCTGTTATCCTACACAAGCTTGTTTACAGGATAAGAGCTGTTATCCTACACCAGCTTGTT